AGGGTCACTGAAGCGCGCAAGCCATCACACCACGTCAAGGTGCAGTCTCGTCGTGATGGAGAACTGTAACACATCCTGAGGATTATATAGTACTCCAACAAACGATCGACGCGGTCCACCGATGGTCAATCGACAACGACATCGAGTTCAACGTTTCCAAATGCAGAGTTATTTCCATGCGGCATAAGACTCGTTTCTCCTTTGTTCTGGGGAACCAAATGCTACCACATGCCAGTGATGAAAGGAATTTGGGAGTTATGGTACAGAAGGACGTAGGATGTTTCACGCACTGTGCCAGAGCATCATCTATGGCTCTAAAGCAAGTTGGGCTACTTAGACGTGTTTTCCGGCAGTTCGAAAGAGCACTCTTCCCACGCTTGTTACCAGCGTTCGTTCGACCACACACGGAGTACGCCGTTCAAGTATGGAATCCATGGTTAAACCGCGACAGGAAGGCTCTAGATAAGCTTTAGCTTTGTTAAATCATCCATAATAAAACTTTGACTTTAATCCAAGTCAAACCCGTGATGCCTTCTTTCCTTTTCACTGATAACTTTGCTCCGTTCACCATGCCCTTTGCATCTTCAAAGTGCAAAGTGATGCCGCAAGACTGGGTGTCGCCGAGTCTCATCCCGAAACTTTACGGTCAGGAATTGGCTGAAGTTGACTGATTCCCATACGTGGGTAGCTGCGTGACCAACGACGGTAGCGCATCAAAGGATATAACCACCCGCGTTTCAAAGGCTCGAGCAGGGTGTGCAGGACTTAAATACCTGTGGCGATGATGTGACCTTTCACTGAAGTTGAAAAGTTGTGTAGACTGTGAGATTAGTTCTGCTTTACAGTTGTGAGACCTTGAACTCGCGAGTGGAAGACATCATTCGCCTAGTGGTCTACGTAGTCTGGTAGAGGTGGGACGGAGTGAGCCATGGCAGCAAACCGACAGCAGTGGCGAACTTGTTGTCACTTCTTATCAGTCCAGAATGCATGAAATAGTATGTATGTATGTACAGCTGGACTGTGTACGCTGTGTATTGATCATGGAGGTCCGCGTTCTTTTTCCTTCCCTAAAAATATGTCCAATCCCTATTCTCCCCACACATTCTCACTTACCTTGTACGCATTATGCGTTTGGCAGCGACCAGTGAATTTCGCTTTACTGCATTAGGCTCTGCGATATTAATGGTGAAAATGATTGATAATTGACTGATAATGTGTGTAACATAACATGCTGGTACAACTTTAAAATTCATAAAATCTCCGAATCAGGGCATAATAAAAGTCTGAATATTTGCTTGGATTATCAGCATTCAATAGGTTGATTGATTTAATCTGTCTTTAGACAAGAGTTAAAGAAATAAACCAACCACATGAAGAGGCAAATGTCAATAAGGAAAGCGATATTTATGATGGTTTCACTCAGAAAATATAAACCGATGGCAACCGGGAGCACTATTCTGAATCCTGGTAAGAAATACCCCACAAGTTCCATCCATTTGATCAATACCGATTTATGACTACTTCTAGTGTTCGCCCCATCGGGCACACCATGAGGCGTTTTCACCGAAATAACTGCACATTGTTCAACTGCTTCGAGTATGGACACAGACATGAACGTGAGCAATCGCGCTACATTTAGTGATTGACCAAGAGACCGTTTTCTTCGAAACACCTAGTATTCGCACATGTTGGGCAAGGAATACAACCTGCATAAAACACTAATTCCACCATGACCCACTTCCATTCCTGGACTTTTCTTTCACACTTTGACAACCATTTTATTCACTCACAAATAACACCTTTGTAATTGTTTACACATCATTAACCTAAACACTTCATGTGACCTGCTTGTTTATCAACCTATCGAACATATGGCGAACAAATCCACTCAACGTGATCTGTTGTCATTCAGTAATTTTATGACCAATCGGACTATAAATATGAATGTCTGATAGGATACATAAAAATGAATTTCTTCGTATTTTTAACTTGCTGTCAAGCATCATTGTGAATTAGCATACGATCTGAAAAGTCCATCATTTTGTATGTAGAGTTCATTATTCCCGCAGTTTAAACTTTCAGAACGACTATTGTACACAAACCGGTAACCCAAATCGATGATAGGGAAAATGGAAACGCTTGAAAAGGGATTATTTGTCATAAACACTACAGCTCTATTCAATTCATTTAAATTAAAAACCGTATCGTTGAGTTTATGCACTTTTTACTACGCGTGTACAATTTATTGTGGTTTTGGGGTGGCGTATATCAGTAAAGAATAATTGATGGAATAATCGATATCACTTCGGACGAAAAGTCTGCGGGGCAAAAGCGAACAGTTAATCAAACTTGGCATGCACGTGATACGTCCAAATTGAACCTGTGTCAGTTGATTGGCTTTCGCCAGAAGAACAACCCGGAAAACACTCCGGTTCGTTACTGTCCCGTGAACCGCATGGTTTGACGGCACTGAAGATATTATCGATTGCGCTAGACAGTCCCAAGGAAAAAGCGCTATTCTGAAACCGTTTGCTAGACAGAAAATTTTGCATCATCCGGTGCTGCTGTTTCGCAGCGTAATTCAGCCGACAAAAGGGAGATGAAGATGAGAACAAAAATAACCACTGAAAAGCATAAGGAGAATACAGTAATCAATTTCAACACCTAGGCATTTACACGACAGCGAACCTAACGGGTAGAATGCTACTCATCTCACGATCCTCACTAACATTAGTACAGAGATCGACAAGCTATCCTGTTGTCATTGTGTTAACATTAACCCACACCACGTTTAAGATACTCATTAAAATTGACCTTGAATATATTTTTTTAAATGAGTATGTGTACATACCTGTGTTGTGTGTGTGCAATACAGAAAGAAATCAAAGTCACCTGGGCGATAAGTGACGCGTCAAAGCGAAAAAACGGAATGCCAAACAGCACTCACCGCCTGAAACTTCATCTGTGTGACAATTCGGCTGAGCAGAAGTAACGAGATCGTATCGCTCAGTTGCAATCGGGGATACTGACGAGTGACTCGAGCAAACAGGTCAAAGTCGAACGGTTTTGATATCTCTATCGGGAAGCGATAGGACGACTACAACAAGAAGATGAACGGAAGGGAATGTGTTTGTATATTATACGTTGAATCTGAATTCCGATGGAGGGGACGAATTCCATAGCCTAAAGACCCATTGTATAAAACAGAGTACAAAAAAGAGGTCAGGCTGAAAATGAAAATACGGGCGCTTTCTAAACACAGAACGAACGGAAAGATGCGGCACGAAAACTTGACAAGTTCCGATAAGCCAATGCTTGAAACATAGTGACACAGCCCCGTCAACATTGGTAATAAATAAATATTTTCACATTAGTTGACCTTAGAATGTCCCGATAATTTTGATATGACTCGCATATAACAGAGTGACTGAAAATTGCGCATCCAAACTAAAGGACTACGAGTTTTGGTTAAAAAGTGATTGGAAAAGGAGTACATGAGGTAAAACTTTCCAGCAATTGATAACAATCAAGTTGTTTCCCAATGCACTTTGACGGTTTCCCAATGGACCTTGGCGGAGGGAGATTTGGTACACAAAAAAGTTTAAGAAGATAGCGGATTTATTTGGTTGATCGGGAAACAGTTGTGAAGGATGCACTTACCAAAATGTAGTTATAAAGTGTAAAGACGGCCACTGACGCACGACTGGTTCCCATATCCTCCAAACCTTGAACAGTTTTTGTTCCACTGATGCTGACCAGATCATATATCGACTCGATTGTTTCCCGTTTTCCGGTCACAAGAATTGCAGTCGTTTTTGACGCAGGTTGATGGGTCAATTGGGAAAGTGTTTCTGTTGCACCATTGAGTTGAGGTTTTTTGCTTTTTTGTTTCGCCACTGGTACTGCCGTTTCTCCTGTTTTTTATAATGATAATGAGCAAATCATGAGGAGGAGAATAAGCCAAACTGATTCATGCAGGAGGTAAGCGGAGATGATATATATATATACATATATATATATATATATACATTGCCTACTGAATTAAATTTCACCAAGAAAATTGGTAAAATTTTACGAAATCATAGCTTAAAGTGAGCAAAGTGTTCTTGGTAGCGATGTTTTTAATGGGCATCTAGTACGGTTTGAGAATTAGTTCATTACTAGTTGTATCCAGCAAGAAACAGGAAGTTCAAAAAAGTTATCACACGGTCGCACTGGATAGCTACTAGCCAAACCGGTTAGACTACTTCCAACAAGAGAAATGTAATCCAAAGCCATGGTCGACGAAATGGATCGGAAAGACAGCACAGGAATATCTTCAATCGCGGTTCGTTCCGTTATACTAAGGCCAAGATAAAGACAAGATTATGGGGAACTGAAAATTTTGGCATTCACCCGCTGGTACAGATCTTCTTTGAGCATTTGGCTTCATTTGTCTTATTGTATGCTGCTCAGTGCGCTATGACACAAACACTGTAAAAACTGCTGCCGCAATGACGTTGAAATCAGATAAGGATTAAAACTGTTGGACGGCTATTCGACCGGTTTGTGTGATAAAACGAAGAATTATCGCACCCCGAAAAAGCAACTAAATGATTGATAATGCAGCGACTTCTCACCTGATTCCATCTGCAGCCGTTTGCGTTTCTTTAGTCGATTAAGGCGCGGAGCGAATTCGGTGATTATGCGTTCAACGACCTCCCGAAATATCCGCTGACCTTCGCTTGGAGAGGACTTGTATAGTTCCTGCCACTTTGCCCTTCCACGATTATACTACAAGAATGTTTAGACAAGATAATGTGAGTTGGCAAACAAAAGTCTCGACGTATCCACGATGTTTCTGTTTGTGAAGTCATTAAAACGACTTATCTAATCATACTACTAACAAGACGTTAGTAGTATAGTTTATTAAACAAAAGTAACTTTCACACTAATGAAGGCGCGGTATCAGGTTAGAAAACAATCTTCAACATCAGAGCACGTGATGATGGACTCCATCTACTGTGCTAGGGCTGCACACCTGGAAGAGTGATAATGTATGATGATAAGTCAAACAAGGCATCAATAAAAAGTAGCCTGATGACTGCACTCAAAGGAACGTTAGGCTTCTACCCTAACCTGTAAAGAAAAGATTAAATTGCATACAAAAAGAATCTGACACAAAACAATAAAAACGTCATCAAGATATAAATAATTGAAATCGCTGTCGTAATGCTTAAAACTACACCAAACCTATCAGGACCATGTGTGTGGTTCGCTATT